TATCATGTATTCATTAGTTATTTAATTTATATATTAATATAATTTGTATTAAAAATTTAATATTAGATATTTATGATCAAAAATTATTTACGTTATTATTAATTAATTATACATATATTAATTAATTCTTATATATATATGGAAATAACTAACTTAATTAAGTTAATTAGCTATTCACTTCGATACAATTATTTATTTTATAAATTCTTTATATTAATATATTAATATTATTGATGATAATATTAACAATTATAATTTGATTTATTAATCATAATATATAATTATATTATATATTATCATTATAATAATCTTATATTTAGTTTTAGTTATTAATAATAGTTATAATCTTATTAATAAATTTTATTAATTATTAAATCTTATTATTGTAAAAATAAATAAAAAAATAAAATTAGAAAATTAAAAATAATAAATATTTAAATATTAAAATAAATACAAGAATATAAAATGTCATACACTTACCAAATTGGAACAACTCTCGCACCAGCTCCTTCAATAAATTTTACATATGATGCAGCAATATAACTATCATATTTTCCTGGATATATTTTATTCAAATCATAGCTTATTTCTTGCGATAGAATACCTTTTTGAAAACAGTTTAGAAAAAATTTATATAAATATCTTTAAATAAATTTATGTAAATTTTTAAATCGATTTTATATTTAAATATCGTACGATAGATATAATTTTATCTTTATGTATTTTTAAAATATAACATGACAATATAAAGAAACTATTCGCAATGAGAAAAAAGAAATATAATTAAAATAATATCATTAACAATCATTTAAAAATTGTTATACATTAATGTAAAATCAATCTTATCAATTCCATATAGAAATAGATAACTATATAGAGAATGATTGTCTATAGCTATTTGAAAACTTAAAAAATAATTTTTCGAACCAAAATTGACGAAAAAAATAAACTTTTATAGTTAGAATAAAAAAGAATAAAAAAATTGTGTTATCGATTTTATATTTTTGTTTGATAATTAAAAAAAACGGTGAAAATATTCATAAATAGCATTTATATTAAGCAAATCTTTCTAAATAAACTAAAAAGTAGCCTAAGCAGCAAAAAGCATAATAATCCTTAAAACCGACATAAGAACATTAGTTTTGTCTCATATAAAATTATAAAAGAGAAAATTATGATATATGAAGACTAACATAAAACATACTTTAGTCATGCATTTTCCATATGTTTCATATATCATAAATTAAATATGTGAAAAACATTTTTGGATATAATTTGAAAATTAAAACTAATCGTTCTATATTATGAAAAATATTATTCAAAATAATTAGAAATTCTTAATATGTTTCAAATTTAAAAAATATGAATGAAAAAACAATACAAATTAATCAAATATGATTCAAATTATATTTTATTGTTCCATTTTAATAGAAAAAATATTATTTACATATATAAATAATATTTTATGAAATTTTTTCAAATTCTTATTTATTTCATTGGTAATAAAAAATGAAATTTAATCAAAAATTGAAAAATGGAAAGAAATTCTTCTAAAAAAAAAATAGCATTTATAGAAATTTAAAATATATTCTTTCGATAATTTTTTTTCATAATATTAATTATGTCTTTTTACTGAATTTAATTGCAACTGAAAATCTTTCTATTCTAATGTTAATGATAATTTCTGAATATTTATTCATAAAAAATTATATTTGAAATTATACAATAAATAAGATAAATATTTCAAATAGAAACATTGATTTTCCAATATAAAATGATAATAGCAATAATAAAAAATATATAATAATATCGCTTATGTTTATACATACAAATGCAAGCAAAAACTTTAATAAAAAAAATGAAATTTAAAAAAAAAAATTTTAAAATGATATATCTATGGTAAAAAAAATCTTATAATAATAAATCAAATTTAATTTTAGCAATGAATAATAATATAATATATGAATAATAATATAATAATATAATATAATAATAATATAATATACAATACAGTTGACAAAAATATTGAGAAAAATTACTATTTTACTTTCGTAAAATCGATATTTTTTATTCATTTATTTTCTAAAGATAAGCAATTTTTATGATTCAATTCAGATTTGCTATACGAACAAATTAATAATATATGTAAGAAATTGTTTTATTTTTAAATAACAAGACTTTATTGATTTATTTTTTTCTTACATTATCGTTCTGTCTAATTATTTTTCATATAAACGAATTAAATTTATAAATAAAAATATTAATTTCGATTATTAAGGCTTTTCCTTATATTATTAAGAAAAAAATATATAAGCGTATATATTGCATTAATTTCGAGAAATATTAAAAATCATAAAATTTGCCATATATTATCATTTTGTCCAGGAGTATGTCATGTAAAAATTAATGATAAGTGTATGCTTTACAAGAAATTTTTTAGAAGAAATACGAATCTGATTGATTTCAATGATATATTCATAAAAATAGATATTTTTGTATTGATCAAACATCTTTAGATAAATATAACATCGCGTATCAGTAAAAAAAAAATATCCCATTCGAGAAACTTCTTATCAATATTAGTTGTATTGACAATCCACGTGTACGAATTGTGTATTTATGTATATATATGTACCTATGATGTATATATGATATATATATGTACTTATAGTTTTGATGTACCTATCAAAACTAGACATATTTTAAAAAAATTAAGTAATTAAAATTTCGAATAAAATTATCTTAATAATTAATTATTTCGAATATTTTATATTTCGAATAACCATTATTAGCACCACATTGCGGCATGAAATATAGATATCATAATAAATCTTTTTCTTGGACTTTTTTTTATTCAATTTTCTTTATGTTCTATTATATTTCTATAATTTTTAATCAAATAAATACTAATTAAATTTTTATAAAATAATACAATGTATAATGTAAAATAATATAATGTATAATGAGAAACTACTTATTATTAAATCACTGTAATAGTTTATTTGATGTAGAAATCTTTTCGATAATTTTGAAGATGTGATATTTATATAAATGATATGTTTTTTCGACATGTAACATGTTGGCATGTTAAAAGAGAATTTTATGGCTGTACAATATCGAATTAGAAAGGCATCTTCATACTAGAAGCAAGAAAATTTTTGATGGCATTTTTATAAAATGTAAAATACAATATAAAATATAAAATAATATAAAATGCAAATTTTATAATTAGTTTGAGTGACATCTAACAATTTTTTATCATATTTCACTAACAATTTTCTTTTTTCTTGATTTAATTTTTATTAACTCTCTTCGATATAATTAATAATTCGGAAGATTGTATATAAAAAATTTTTAAAGAATTTTATTTCATGTTTGCATTTCACATATAATTCTTTTGAAGAAATAATCAAATAGAAAAAGTGTATTATTTAATAATGTTAATTTGTTATGAATACACGCAAAAATTTATCTAATGAATAGAAAAATATTAGTATGATAAATTAATTATTTTTTTCAATTTATAATCCAAAAGAAAAATATATTATTCTAGGATTAATAAAAATTAGATTTTTAAAATTATTTATCTTTATAATATTATAGATATTATTTTTAACTTATTTTTTCCTGATAGATTTGATAATAGATTTTATCATTCATGATAAATATCTATATCAATAAATATGCTTTTTAAATAATTGAATATAAGTAGAAAAAATCAGCAAGATTGAAAAATTAGATTTACAATAATAAAAAAATTTTTTATTTTTGTCTATTGTCGTATTATTAAATTATTAAATATTCTAACAATAAATTCCTATTAATTTAAAAAATTTTTATTCCGTAATGAATTTGTTTCAAAAGTCATGCTGTAGATTTTTATTTATATTAAAATTTTGTATTTTGCTGATTATGAAAAAAATAGATTATATAAGATCTTTTATAGAACTAATAATAAAAAAATTTCAGAAATATTTGATATTTGACAGCATACTTATGATAAAAATGAAATTTATTATTTACTCAATTGTAAATCCTAACTTTTCTAATATAAAACGCAAACAATGCAATTGTAATATTTAAATATTAATTCATAAAATTTTGATACAAAAAAATAATACTATTGTCTATGTATTACTATTAAAATTAAATTGTATTATAATAAAATACTAAAATAATTATAAAAATAATAATTATAAAATAAATAAATAATTATAAAATACAGAATATTTGGAGTTTATCATTTGAAAATTTTGATTTTAAATTCTATTAAGTAAATGTGTACAATTTAAAAATAAGAAAAAAGCTAATTAAAAATTAAAAACAATTTACAAACATAAAATAAATTCATATTAGATCAGTGGTTCTTAAACTTTTCTTTATCATGGACATCCTTTAAATAATTTTTCGTTATTGTGGATTACTAGAACTTAAAATTTAATATTCATTAAATATATAGAGTTAATCTCAAAAGTTAATCAAGATAGAAACAAAGTTTTTATTAGTAATTAAAATTGACTATTTACAGAGCGCATAGATTTATTATATCGCGCCAGACTCAACTTTTTAACTTTGTTCAATTCTGATGATTCATTATCACAGTAACATATATATTAATATTACGACGTATATATATATATATATATCGTCACAACATAAATCTATGTATTTTAGAAATGTGCAATATGTTTAATTAATAACTAATTAATTAATTAAAATGAAAATTTTTGTAAAGAAAAAAGTTGCTTAAAATCATATCAAGAATTATTGGTTAAATCTTGTCAATTAACTTTTAAAATATTCACAATTCAAATTTTGAAAGAAAAAATTTATTTTAAATAAATAAAACAATAAATATTGTATATTAATTCCTCTTAGTTATTCATTTGTATAACTCAAGATTTTACGACTATTTAAAGATTCGCAAACCACATATTAATTATAAATAACCACATATAAATTAAGAACCACTGACGTAGACTATTACATATTTCATAACAACAAATAAATATTTTATAAAATTATGGGAATCCTCCATTATTATCATATTCTTTTCTTACATATAAAATTAGAATATTTAAATTATTTATGAAATACATAAATAAATACTTGCCAATTATTGGTCGGTTATTCAAAAATGTGTTATCTTCAATTGAAGGAATAGAAATTCCTGAAACAGATCGCATTGCGATATATATTGAAGTAATAAATTTTAATATCAATAGTATTAACATTATAGATGATAAATGATTCTGATTTCTGAAAATAAATAACACCAGCGTGCACTATAAACGATACTAAAATGAGACTTTCTATTAGATTTCTATTAGATTAAATTGAAATTGTTATTTTTTATTTTCGTTATCACCAATACACTTCAGATATACTAGATTCAAGTGCAGCATGAAAAGGAAACCTTTGGAAAAAATACAATCTAATACAAAAAGATACACGTATTCATCGAAAGTCTCACATCTACTAATAAAATTATATATATATAAAATTATATAGAACGGAAGCAAGGAAAGTATATGTTCCTTATCACTATGAATGTCGTCATTCCACTTGAATTCAAATGAATTCAAATTAATTCTCTATGGAATT